CGGGGTAGAAATTTAGCCGATTGTGGACCAGTTGATTTTATAATGCTTATAGACATGAGGCATAAGCATTATTGTTGAAAAAAGCAATACATTTCTGAAAACACTTGTCTCTTTCCACCTGTTTTAGTCTTGACTGGGGTTTGATATGATCTTTATTTGCCATGGTGTACTCAAAATACAGAGGCCCCCGCTTAACGTTCACCTCCCAATGCGACAATTATGTAAGTGTATTTATGTAAGTGCGTTTGTACGTGTATGTTTGGGGGTCTGAATGGACTAATCTATTCACAATATTCCTTATTGGAACAAATTCGGTCAGTACTGGCCCCTGAACATATTTTGGGAAATGAAAAAATTATCGTTAACCGGGGGTCCACTGTACTTGTTACTTTCCCTGACAATAATTTCCATCAAGGGTGGTCAAAGAAAATTTAAAAAAATCCAGTTTATTGGGGCCCTGGTTCCAAGGGCAAGTAGGTAGAATTCCACTTTTAGAGTCATCAAAGTGGTGGGGCTTGGGAACAAATTGGGTTTTGCTGCCATCCAGTACGGTTTGTGGTGATACTGGACATCATAGGCTGGTTGTGCGGGTAGTTGTGGTTGTGGTGGGCTGGCGGCTGACGCTCCGCTATGTCCTTGAACTGCAGAGTCAGCAGGTGGTCCCAGCCTGGCTGGTAGTCACGCATGGCCTGGCACTACCTAACCACTACCACCTTATTGATGCCTGTGGGCTATCCATGCCAAGTGTAGCCACATCTCCTCACTATCACTGTCTATACTGGTGTGGGCCACAGGATGTACTCTGGGATGTACTCATCCCTGGGCACGGCTAGGGTACTTACCTTGAGCGCATGCGGCAGCTACATACCAACGTTTCACTGGTGAATATGTTTCCTCACTATCACTACTTTAATGATCGTCAGAGCAATAAAATCACAATCCACGTCACTATCATCATCATTATGAAGTCAGAGGCCTGGCCACGCGAAAATAATAGTTTTCTCTTGCGTTGAGGTACAACTGACTGTGACTGAGGAGTGCCCACACCAGAGGTAGAAGGTTGAGGATCGTCTGGTTTTTCTGCACTATTATCGATTTCCTGGTCATTCCTTTCGGTCACTAACTGATCAAAGCCAAATAATTCATCTTCATTTCCACTTCCATCAGTGTCAGAACTATCAGATAGGAAGAGGAGAGTCCCAATTTTCCTTGGAGTGAGAGCTGCCTTGCGACGAGGCATGGTGAGCAAGGGTAACTGAGCCGGCATTCCCACAATGCTATGCGGGCGCCTAGATTTTTTGTTTATGGCGCACACCCACCACACAGACCCGTTCTCTCACGTGTAGACCTATGAGCGTTTTTGTGCTAAATTTGACGGCGCTAGAATTTTGGCGTAGATCTATGGTTTGGACCCTCAACATGGAAGCCGTAGATCTACGGGACGGACCCTGAAAGGGTTAAGTAGCAAGAGTATATCAGCTGATCATGTACCAACAGGAAGTTTTGAGTTTGCAGAAAATATTTCTGGGAATGGTTACATTCCCCAAGGCTTGTATGAGCATGCTAGATCATATTGAGTGGAGGCAAGTGGTTTTTATGGCTTCACATACTGTTGAAGTATGAACAAGGTAACATTTATGAAGAGATTCAGGGTAACCTGTTAGCTGTACATGAGTCCTGGAAGTGGGAAGTACAGTGCCTGCACTCTGTAGGAGGAGTGTGGAGGGCCATCTGAACTGTGATGTCAGCATGCTTTTGGGAAAACAGAGACTGAAAGAATGATGGTGAATGTGTTACCTTTTTTGGGGCCACCATTCCTCTGTGGGAGACAACCTGTGTGTTAAGAATGCATTTTAAGTCTAGGGAAAAACTCTTATGGGTTGATATGAAGAGATTAGAGGTACATTGTTGAAGGGTTCTTTTATCACTACTCAAATAAATTATGCTCCTCCTATCCTTGAATCAGACCTGAATACTTTCTATTTCAATAGGTGCTGTGTGACCCCTATGGGTTTAGTGTTCCCCTGTATAATAATCTTGTATTACTGATGGTAATATGTTGATTATTTTATACTACAATTATATTCAGTGACATCAGTAAATCTGAGGGTCATACAACACCTGGGGAATACGAGGTAAAAATGTTTGATCCAAGTAAATGGGAGAAGTAGTATTTTTTTGCTTCAGTCTTGGATCAAGAGTGATTTTTAATTAGGTGGCTCCTTTACATGGTAATGTTTATGGAGATGATGGGATGTTAACTTTATAAATCTCTAAGTAATATGCTTCATTGTAGCTGGTTTTAACCAGTAGTCTTATGTACAGTAGTTATGTGGAAAATGGACACTTATTGTACAGTTTAGGAATCTATTGAATGAATGTTTTGTTGCCTGCAGTGGCAAATGTTTCTTTAAAAATGTCAGAGTGTACATAATGTTTTTTCCACACGTGTGGTATACAGACATTTTCAATAGTTACATATTTCACAATTCGGCAGTTAATGGTACCAAGACTTGGTATGTATGTGGGAGGCATGGGGTTTGAATGCTGCAGTGTGGAGGAGGCTGGAGACAGTGGAGATGTCTTGTGTGAATGCTGCAGTGTGGAGGTGACTGGAGACAGTGGAGATGTCTTGTGTGATTGCTGCAGTGTGGAGGTGGGTGGAGACAGTGGAGATGTCTTGTGTGATTGCTGCAGTGTGGAGGTGGGTGGGGAGACAGTGGAGATGTCTTGTGTGATTGCTGCAGTGAGGAGGTGGCGTGGAGACAGTGGAGATGTCTTGTGTGATTGCTGCAGTGTGGAGGTGGCGTGGAGACAGTGGAGATGTCTTGTGTGATTGCTGCAGTGTGGAGGTGGGTGGTGACCAGTGGAGGTGTGATAAGATCTTGTGTGATTGCTGCAGTGTGGAGGTGGTGGAGACAGTGGAGATGTCTTGTGTGATTGCTGCAGTGTGGAGGTGGGTGGAGACAGTGGAGATGTCTTGTGTGAATGCTGCAGTGTGGAGGTGGGTGGAGACAGTGGAGATGTCTTGTGTGATTGCTGCAGTGTGGAGGTGGGTGGAGAAGTAGTGGATGATAGTGAACAGACGTGGAGATGTCTGTGATTGCTGCAGTGTGGAGGTGGGTGGAGACAGTGGAGATGTCTTGTGTGATTGCTGCAGTGTGGAGGTGGGTGGAGACAGTGGAGATGTCTTGTGTGATTGCTGCAGTGTGGAGGTGGGTGGAGACAGTGGAGATGTCTTGTGTGGATTGCTGCAGTGTGGAGGTGGGTGGAGGACAGTGGAGATGTCTTGTGTGATTGCTGCAGTGTGGAGGGGGTGGGTGGAGACAGTGGAGATGTCTTGTGTGATTGTGCAGTGTGGAGGTGGGTGGAGACAGTGGAGATGTCTTGTGTGATTGCTGCAGTGTGGAGGTGGGTGGAGACAGTGGAGATGTCTTGTGTGATTGCTGCAGTGTGGAGGAGGCTGGAGATGTCTTGTGTGATTGCTGCAGTGTGGAGGTGGCTGGAGACAGTGGAGATGTCTTGTGTGAATGCTGCAGTGTGGAGGTGGGTGGAGACAGTGGAGATGTCTTGTGTGATTGCTGCAGTGTGGAGGTGGGTGGAGACAGTGGAGATGTCTTGTGTGATTGCTGCAGTGTGGAGGTGGGTGGAGACAGTGGAGATGTCTTGTGTGATTGCTGCAGTGTGGAGGTGGCTGGAGACAGTGGAGATGTCTTGTGTGATTGCTGCAGTGTGGAGGTGGGTGGAGACAGTGGAGATGTCTTGTGTGAATGCTGCAGTGAGGAGGTGGTGGAGACAGTGGAGATGTCTTGTGTGATTGCTGCAGTGTGGAGGGTGGCTGGAGGACAGTGGAGATGTTGTGTGAATGCTGCAGTGTGGAGGTGGCTGGAGACAGTGGAGATGTCTTGTGTGATTGCTGCAGTGTGGAGGTGGGTGGAGACAGTGGAGATGTCTTGTGTGAATGCTGCAGTGTGGAGGTGGGTGGAGACAGTGGAGATGTCTTGTGTGATTGCTGCAGTGTGGAGGTGACTGGAGACAGTGGAGATGTCTTGTGTGATTGCTGCAGTGTGGAGATGGGTGGAGACAGTGGAGATGTCTTGTGTGATTGCTGCAGTGAGGAGGTGACTGGAGACAGTGGAGATGTCTTGTGTGATTGCTGCAGTGTGGAGGTGGCTGGAGACAGTGGAGATGTCTTGTGTGAATGCTGCAGTGAGGAGGTGGCTGGAGACAGTGGAGATGTCTTGTGTGATTGCTGCAGTGTGGAGGTGACTGGAGACAGTGGAGATGTCTTGTGTGATTGCTGCAGTGTGGAGGTGGGTGGAGACAGTGGAGATGTCTTGTGTGATTGCTGCAGTGTGGAGGTGACTGGAGACAGTGGAGATGTCTTGTGTGATTGCTGCAGTGTGGAGGTGACTGGAGACAGTGGAGATGTCTTGTGTGATTGATGCAGTGAGGAGGTGGGTGGAGACAGTGGAGATGTCTTGTGTGATTGCTGCAGTGAGGAGGTGGGTGGAGACAGTGGAGATGTCTTGTGTGATTGCTGCAGTGTGGAGGTGGCTGGAGACATTGGAGATGTCATGTGTGAATGAGATGTATAGTGTGGGGTCACAGACCACCTCAACTCCTCAGAGGGCTGAGGAGTTGAGGTAGTTTGGGCATTTAGAGAGGATGGAGAGAGAGAGAAGGGGAGTGCCTGCACTCTGAGGAGGAGCAAGGATTTTACAGTTTGAGGGTAATCTGATTGTGATATCACCACATTTCTGGAAAAGGCAGCAGTTGAATGAATAATGATGAATATGTTTTCTTCTTTAAGCCACCCTACCTTAGCAAGAGATGGCTATTGAGGTAAAAAATAATTAGCATTTTGTATAACACAATCTCCCAATTAATATGCTTATGTAATTTGTTATCACTGCAGCATCTTCTAGTTAATATGCTTATATAAACACATTGCAGCATCTTTGAATTAACATGCTCACATGATCTTATTATCACTGCAGCATCTGCGGACACTAAAAGTTCCAGGCAAGCAAATAACTGCTTGTTCCTGGGAGGGTGGATCACTTCGCATTGCCTTGGCTGTTGACTCCTTCATCTACTTTGCAAATATCCGTCCAGACTACCGATGGTGCTTTTTTGCAAATACAGTTGTGTATACATATACCAAACCTGAGCGTTCAGAGGCATGTGTCACATTTTGGGATACTCGCAATAATGAGGTGAGTGGATGACTGTCTTTGACTATCTTACCTGTGTAGTTTTTCATTGAGTAACTGAATGGTCCAGATGTAACTTTTTTTTTTTTTTTTTTTTTTTTTTTTTTTTTTTTAACAAACTGACCATTTCCCACCAAGGTAGGGTAACCCCAAAAAAGAAAAAGCATTTTCACCATCACTTGCTCCATCCTCATCTTACCAGAGGGGCACTGATACTACAGTGCATAACTGCAAATATCCCCATTGAATAATTGAATGGTCCAGAACTAACTTTTTTTTTTTTAACTCTGCTTCCCATTGAGGTAGGGTGACCCAAAAAAACAAAAACAAACACTTTCACTGTCACTCACTCCATCTCTGTCTTACCAGAGAGGCACTGATACTTACAGTTCAAAACTGTAAATGTCCCCACCCCTTTTAACACTCTGGCTATCTCCCACCTAGGTGGATCAAGTCATAATGTATTCCTAGTTTGGTTCATCAAGACACAGAAACACTAAGCCAATGATATCATCAAGAATATTTAATTCCTGAGAAAACAGCTGCAGCACTTTGTTTTGCTGATCTGTCTCGACTAATGTTTCAGTTTAGTTTGGCTTATTTGAAGCTATTTTCCTGTCACTTCACATTTTATTATGGAATTTTCAGTGGTATGACCATTACTTGTTAATGGCACATGATATTGGACTGTCAGCTTGAGGACACTTAACCCTTTCAGGGTCTGTGCTGTAGATCTGTGGCTTTATGTTGAGGGTCCAAACTGTAGATCTACGCCATGAGCTCAGCTCACTCTGATAAGCTGTGAGCGGTAAGTTTGGGCCTACATATGAGAGAATACATCTGTGTGGTATGTGTGCACCACATAAAACAAATCCTGCAGCACACAGTGCATAATGAGAGAAAAAACTGAGACCGTAATTTTTATTAAAACAGTGACTGCAGTGTTTTTTCGTATGTTGTTTATGGGTGTATTTGCGATTTCTTGGTCACATTTGATAGAATGGAAGATATATTACAGAAATAGAGATGATTTTGATTGGTTTTAGTACTGGAAATGGCTTGAAACTGAGCTCAAAGTAGCAGAAATGTTAAATTTTTGCCGATGTTCAAGAGTAAACAAATGACCTCACATCTAATACACGCCAGCTGGTGGGTCTAATATATGTTCATAAATGTGGTGATATTATTTATACAATTATTACAATATTTCATAACAGTAAATCTTCTATTTTTTGGTTTGAATAAAAATTCATTATGTGAATAAAAAATCAAAATGGAATTCATTTGTAAAACCTGAAAACATAACTAATGAACAGAGGAAATGTTAGTTTAGTCCCAGGAATACTTGCATTGTTTATTCTCGACCCTATTTTGAAATTGGAATATTTTGAACTTTGCATTAAACTGGCCAAATTACCAATTTCCGATCACTTTATTTTGTAGTTGAAACAGTTGACTTGGCGATTTCTTGTGCTCAGTTGATAGAATAAAAGTAATACTAGCAAAATAGCTAAGAATTTGGTCGACTGGAATAGTGTAATTGGCCTAAAATGGGAGTCAGAGTTGACAGAATCGCCAATGCGTAAATATCGCTGACACATCAAAATTCGTGAGAGCATAATTTCGTCAATTTTCCATCAAATTTCATACTTTTTGTTTTATTACCTTCAGAAAAAGATTCTCAACCATTTCATAAGAAAAAATAAAATTATTTTTTTTTAAATTCTTGAACCCTGGTGCACACTTTGAAATTTGGCCTCTGGATCCTGAAAGGGTTAACAACTCCTGGGAATCAATTTTCTTTATTGAATTGGAAAATTATAATTAACATGTTGCCCTTAACTTGTTTAAAGGAGAATGCCAAAAATGTATTTACATTTACTAATATTGGTTGTCATGTTTTGATGGAACATGAAAAACCACTTTAAAAAAAAAAACAAAAAACACTTATACCCCTCAAACAATCTTCTGGTTTTATGGTAGTTTCAGAATACTTGCTTCTGAATTGTATTGAATATAATATGAAGTATTTACCTTATTTTCTAAATCTAATTTTGTTTCCTTGATGTATGTATACCTGCATATCTGGAAGAGTATGAGCATGTATGTCAGTTTATTCTCTCTTGGTTTAAGGCACGTTAACATTCAGTAAATAATAGTACAGTAGTTCTGCTGATCATAGTAATAATGAAGATGTGTAACTCATTAGTTAAATGTAGGTACAGTGGAACCTCAGTTTTTGTTTGCCTTGGTTTTTATCGAATTCGGTTTTCGGTGACTTTTTTCGTCAAAATTTTGTCTCAGTTTTCCTTCATCACCTCGGTTTTTGTCCGCCATACTGAATGTGCCCACCTGAACGCATCCACACAAAGCATCCCATGCATGTGTTCTGAGTCAGTCTGGCTTTGTTTTTCGTCGAGTGAACATTACCCTGCTAGTTCATACGGAACGTTTCATGATAATCTATTATTTTTTGTGCTTGTTTATTGAGTGTGACTGCTAAATAAGCATCCATGTTGTGGAATCTTTTATGGCTTTAGGGAAGTCCATGGGGTTGGATGTGAGTGGCCAGGATGTGGAAGAGTTGGTGGACAACCTTAGGGAAGAGCTAACCACTGAAGAGCTGCAACACCTTCAGCTAGAACAGCAATAGATCATAGCTGGGGAAATTGCTTCAGAGGAGGAGGAAGAGAGAGGGGAGAATGTGCCTTCTTCAGTAATTAAGGACATTTGTGCAAAGTGGAGTGAGTTACAGAGTTTTGTGGAGAAATATCATTCTAACAAAGCTGTTACAAGCCGTGTCTGCAACATGTTCAATGACAATGCCTTTATCCCATTTTAGGCAAATCTTAAAGAAATGCTAGAAACAGACCTCTCTGTACAAATTTTTGTGCAACAGGGGTCCAGTGACTCAAACTGGTCCTAGTGACAGTAAAAGAAAAAGAAGGGAAGTAACCCCGGATAGGGACTTGGTACCTAAAATCTTTATGGAAAGGGATTCCTCTTCTAAACAATAGTGTAACTTCTCCATCCTCTCCCCTCCTCCTGTCTTCCATACACTAACAAGAGTCTTCAGTAAAGGTAAGTGTAATGTTATTATTGTTTTATACTTGATGTCTCATTGTTTTCTGTATGTAAATCTATAATGTAAAAAAAAAACTTTTTGGTAATGCTTTTCGGTGTCTGGAATGGATTTATTTATTTATTTATTTATTTATTTATTAACAATTTGAGCACACATACAGAGGTACAAAAAAATACAGATAAGAGCAGCATGCCAAAGCCACTTATACTATGCATAGCATTACGGGCTGGCTTAAAATTAACTTAAGATTAACTAAGCAATGATGAAATCAGTGATAAAACATTAATGTAAACAGATTACTATAAAGCACAAGTGAGTATTACAAAGACAGGTCATATGGTTGCATGCATTGTTGTACATTCAGTAGAATGGAGTATTCTGTTAGGTAGTGTATTTAAAAAATAATAAAGTTAGATTGGGTTTTAGGTTTAACATTTATGTGATATAATTGTGAGAAACATTTAAGATATACAATTTATAAGGTTCAGTTATTCAGTATTTATTTGGTTTTGGGTGAGTAAGTGATCTTTGAGAAGAGACTTGAATTTATAAACAGGTAGTGTTTCTTTTATATTTACAGGTAATGAATTCCAGATTTTAGGGCCTTTTATGTGCATTGAGTTTTTGCATAGTGTGAGATGGACACGAGGAACATCAAAGAGTGATCTGTGCCTTGTGTTATGGTCATGTGTTCTGTTGAGGTTGGCAAGGAGATGTTTGAGGGGAGGGTTAATATCAGAGTTAAGTGTTCTATGTATGGATTTACATTATTTCTTATGGGGAAAATGGTTTTGCCATTCATAAATTTCGCCTTTCGTCAGACTCTCTGCAACAGATTAATCATGAAATTCGAGGGTCCACTGTAATTAGCCTCAAATAGGACTCGAAGTGGGCAAAAATCGGCCATTGGTAAATATCATTAAGGCAGCAAAATTCGCTATAGTGTAATTTCATCTGTTTTTCATCAAATTTTGTATTTGTTTGTTTTATTATCTTCAGAAAAAAATGCTCTACCATTTCATAAGAAAAAGTAATAATTTTTTTTAAAAATTCTTTGACCCTGTGGACAAGTCACAGATTAGGGAGGGGTCTGGACCCTCAAAGGGTTAATTAAGATGGTTTGTGGCAGTGATATGAACATCAGCTGACTCCAAGCTTAATCGAACATCATTAGTTTAGTTTGATATCTTTATTATGCACCCCCATACCCATCCTCTGTGTGGTAGTCAAAAGATTACAGAGGTACATAGTGGGTCCAGGGACTGTGCCCCGAAGTTTTGATAGCTGAACAAGTTAGAAAGGTAATGAACTTTTACATGCCTATATCTGGTCACAAGCATAACCAAGTTGCAAAGGTAGTGAACCATTTACATGTTTATATATGGTTACAATCATGAACAAATACAAAATAATGAGCCATTCACACGTCCACGCCTGGTCACAACTGTAATGAGTTCACGTTTTAGATCTAGTGCTATTTTGCACTTAATAAATGATTGTGTTCTCTGGAACCTAACCATTGTATAATAATAGAAATTAATCTGAATTGGGATGTCAGTACAATTATGAAAAGTCAATGAATGAACGATGGTGAATGTGTTTTCTTTGGGTCACCCTGCCTTAGCGAGAGGTGGCTATTGAGGTAAAAAGAATAAAATGTTTAATAATACTGTACATTGTGTAGTGTTTACCCGAGTGTTGATTGTGTCTTTCTCACAGAAAGAGAGATCTCTTGCTTTTCTTAGGCTTTGTCAGAAGTCCCACCATCTGAAATATGAGTCACTTATTAACGTGTAATTAATTGGCTCTGAAAGACCAGTGTCATAAGTACTTAACATCATAACTCAAAATATTATAAGTCAGGGTTCTGCTGTCTTATATTTGGTGAAACACTGTGAGGAGTGTTGAGTTATTCCTATTACTAATTGTGTCTACTATATATACAGAAAAATAAACTCAGATATAAACCGTCTGCTTAAACTTCTCCTTGATAGCTACAACAGAATGCACAGTCACAATATAAAACACAAGGCATTCTTCGACATCCCTCATGTCGGTCTCACACTATGCAAAAATGCAATGCACATAAAGGGCCCAAAGATCTGGAATTTACTACTTGAACCAATTAAGGATCCCATGACTACATATAAATTTAGTATGTTAAATTCATCTTATGCATCAACAAAGCAACTTCTATATGACTTAAAAGATATCTTGATTTCATGCTCTCAATGTAACCATACCAACCTATAAGCAGACTTCTTATTGAATCCAAAATGATTAGAAGTTGCTTTGGTTGGTATGGTTAGCATTGAGAGATGAAATGATTTTTAAGCATAGCCCTAAATTTATATGTAATTGTTTTACATGATGGTAGGATTGCTGGTGTCCTTTTTTCTGTCTCATAAACATGCAAGGTTTCAGGTACGTCTTGCTACTTCTACTTACATTTAGGACACACTACACATGCATGTACAAGCATATATATACCCCTCTGGGTTTTCTTCTATTTTCTTTCTAGTTCTTATTCTTGTTTATTTCCTCTTTTCTCCATGGGGAAGTGGAACAGAATTCTTCCTCCGTAAGCTGTGCGTGTTGTAAGAGGCGACTAAAATGCCGGGAGCAAGGGGCTAGTAACCCCTTCTCCTGTATATATTACTAAATTTAAAAGGAGAAACTTTCGTTTTTCCTTCTGGGCCACCCCACCTCGGTGGGATACGGCTTGTACGTTGAAAAAAAAAATGACCTCTAGTCTTTTAAAACATCTGCCAATCCATAAAATATTACTGTTTGAACCATTAATTGTAATATTGTTTTTATTATGTGCAACTTCAAGATTATTATTCTTATAAACCTCAACCTTGACTACCTCACATAAATATTAAGATAAAAGAAAGATTTATTACAAAGTTAACCATTTTTATCTTGTCCAGACTTAAGTAGTTATTATGTACTAGGATCAGTTTGCCCAAAATGCTCCAGTATGATAGTGACCTTCTTTGTACTTAACAAATCAGAATTGCAATTACATCTTGTAACCTTTGCAAAGAAATAAAATCTTTAATCCTCAATCTTTTTTTTAATCTTAATCTAAACATACATATCTTCTGTTTAGGGGCTGCTTGTTATCATTTGTTCCTCTTGTTCTTGTTAAAATTGATAAATAAATAGATTTATAAATATCTCATTATATGATAGAGTGAATGATGGCAAAAGTGTTTCTTTTTTGGATTACTCTATCTCAGTGGAAGATGGCCAGTGTGATTAAAAAAAAAAAAAATAGCCTAAGTCTGGTGTCCTCTGTTAATGAACTAAGTCATAGTTTCCATCCATACTTATTACTGCACCTATTACATACATAGAACACTTAACTCTGATATTAACCCTCCCCTCAAACATCTCCTTGCCAACCTCAACAGAACACATGACCATAACACAAGGCACAGATCACTCTTTGATGTTCCTCGTGTCCATCTCACGCTATGCAAAAACTCAATGCACATAAAAGGCCCTAAAATCTGGAATTCATTACCTGTAAATATAAAAGAAACACTACCTGTTTATAAATTCAAGTCTCTTCTCAAAGATCACTTACTCACTCAAAACCAAATAAATACTGAATAACGAACCTTATAATTGTATATCCTATGTGTTTAGAAAGACACGTAAGCAACACATAACATATTTATTAGAACGTTTCGGTCCTGGGACCTTGATCACTTCTAACATACAGAGGTAGAAAGACATTATATATATAGGCGGAGAGTGAGATGTGACGCACGTGACCTGAGGAATGTCATAAGAACATAAGAATGGAGGAACACTGTTAGAAGTGATCAAGGTCCCAGGACCGAAACGTTTTCTAATAAATATGTTATAGTGTTTGCTTACGTGTCTTTCTAAACCAACTTGTCGGTATTTATTACCAAGGCTTATACCATCCTATATGTTACTCACAATTATATCACACAAATGTTAAACCTAGGACCCAATCTAACTTTGTTATTTTTTTAAATACACTACCTAACAGAATACTCCATTTAACTGAATGTACAGCAATGCATGCAACCATATGACCTGTCTTTGTAATACTCATTTGTGCTTTATAGTTATCTGTTTACAATAATGTTTTATCACTGATTTCATCATTGCTTAGTTAATCTTAAGTTAATTTTAAGCCAGCCCGTAATGCTATGCATATAAGTGACTTTGGCATGCTGCTCTTACCTGTATTTTTTGTACCTCTGTATGTATGCTAAAAATTACTAAAATAATGTTTTGGCAGTTTTGGGAACAGAGGTAAAAATCCAAGGAAGCTTAGTTTAAAAAAATAAAATGTTATTATTTTGAACTTAAAATGTTGTATGTAGTTCTGGTATGACGTATGGCATTAGAGAATATTAAAATTATTAGTTTCTGCCTTTTATCTCATTATAAAGACATAGAGCTCTGTATCTCTATTCTTGATAATTATGAATAAGTGATGGTTTAGTGTTATTTTATTAATTCCTTTATAAACATTTTCTCCTGCTCAGCATTTCATTAAACATATAAAGTACCTGATGGGAATGACATCATATGGAGAACACTGTGTCCTGGCTGTACGCACAGATGATGGATCCGGACAATTTGGCCTCATCATCTGCAATGCTATTGGAACACCTGTTGACAGTAAGTAGTGCATGTTAGGTGCTGTAGCTAGTAAGATCAGATTAAGATAAGATTTATTGGTATTTTTAACCTGGAGGGTTAGCCATCCAGGATAGCTCAAGAAAGTCAGTGTGTCATCAAGGACTGTCTGTCTTAGTTCCATCGGGGTCCTTCAGTCTTGTCCCTCAGGATGTGACCCACACCAGTCAACTAACACTTCCAACAGCATATCAAGTCATAAAAACCACTTGCCTCCACTCATATCTAACATGCTCCACACACACACACATCTGTTGGATGTCCAATCCCCTTGCATACGAAACCTCCTTTACTCCCTTCCTTCAGCCTTAACTAGAATGATCTCTTCTCCTCCTGCCCTCCACTATAGATTTATACACTCTTCAGATCATCTTATTTTGCTTTATCTTCTTGTAATGTCTAAACCACCACCTCCTAATCTCCAAACTATGTGTTCTCTGCATAATATTCACACCACACATTGCCCTCAGACACCACGTCTCCTCTGCCTGCAGCATTCACCACCCATGCATTTCATCCATATAAGAGTGTTGGTACCACTGATACATTTCCCCTTTTGCCTCCATAGATAATGTTCTTGTTTCCACAGATGCCTCAGTGCACCACCCACCTTTTTTCCTCATCAGTTCTATGGTTCACTTCATCTTTCATAGACCTGGCTGCTTACACATCCATTCCCAAATATCTGAACACATTCAGTCTGATATCCGAAAAAAAAATGTCCACCAGTAGCTTTCTGGATGAACATTATTCTTACAAGGTATAGCATGGTGGAATTCTGGATAAAAATTCCTGTGAGTACATGCTAAATCCTAATTTTGTTTTTTCTCTGCAGGTAAATATATAGATATAGAGCCTCATTACCTGGCCATGACAAGCAACTATGTGTTTGCAGTCTCTAAGGAGAACTTCTACCTATGGCACTTCAAGACACCAAAGGCTCATAGTTCTCTTGAATTAGCAAGTAAATTGGCAGTGTTTCTTTGTGTAACTGATACTGGCTTCACATGTTCTCTCTAATTATAATCTTGAGTCACTATGCTTAATTTTACAGCCTTGGTTATAATTATATTCATATATTTACAGTCAGCTCTCTTATAAACCTCCTCTATATAATGCAGTTTTTTATAAATACAGTTAAATAAGTACATACATCCAAAATTGAATAGTACATGGTAAAGCTTTCATAGTACATGCTATTCAATTTTTATGTACTTTAAAATTGCATCTGTGGTAAATCACGCTATGTAGAGTGGCTTATAAGAGAGCTGATTGGTTGAATATGACAGTGATAAATTATGGGGTAAACACGTACTGTATGCCTTGCATATTTTTAGTTATTAAAGTCACTTTGAAGAAAGTAATAACAAAGTGGGCAAGTAAGTGGGAAGTTGTTGGGGGTGTCACCATACAGTAACTAACAACAAGGATACTTTGTCACATCAATTGAGAAAATATTAAACGTACCCTTGCCACAGAATTCTGTACAATTTTTTACCAAATCAACCAATTTTTACTAAGGTAAGGTGTAACAAACAAGATTACGCATTCACCATTATTCAGACAACAGCTGTTTTGCCAGAAATGAGCAGACATCACAGTTAACAGTTTGTATTTAAATTCAATACCTGTATTATTCTGATAAGGCTTAGTCATAATTTATTGTAATACAATATTCTAGGTATTGTAAAAGCTGACCGGCAAGAGCGACTCTACCACATTGATGATACGCCAACGGGAGTTTCGGATGTTTTCAGAGAGGGAGAAAAATTATATGAGGTATGTGTATGTTTCTCCATGGGTAAGTGGAGAAGAATTCTTCCTCCGTAAGCCATGCATGTTGTAAGAGGCGACTAAAATGCCGGGAGCAAGGGGCTAGTAACCTCTTCTCCTGTGTACATTGCCAAGTGTTGTCTCCCACCCTGCCTCGGTGGGAGACAGCCAATATGTTAACAAAAAAAAATGTTTGTTTCTGAAATAATGTTTAATCTTGAGTGTCTTGGGTTTGCATGATCAGTAACTGTACATGATGAACTCATACAGTGTGTAAAGAACACACAAGGTGGCTTATATACTGCACTCAGCCACTGGTTGGCCAAAGTTTTTCCAGAATGAAGATTCCCAAATGTTGCAATAGTGTCTCTTTCCTCAACTTGTTAGTTTTCTTACCCATTTATATCACATAAATACTGATGTTGACTGTGCACTTCTCTGTTATAGTGCACTGATGTTGACTGTGCCCTTCTCTGTGATAGTGCACCGATGTTGACTGTGCCCTTCTCTGTGATAGTTCACCAATTTTGACTGTGCACTTCTCTGTGATAGTGCACTGATGTTGACTGTGCACTTCTCTGTGATAGTGCACTATGTTGACTGTCCCGTCTCTGTGATAGTGCACTGATGTTGACTGTGCACTTTTCTGTGATAGTGCACTGATGTTGACTGTGCACTTCTCTGTGATAGTGCACTGATGTTGACTGTGCACTTCTCTGTGATAGTGCACCAGTGTTGACTGTGCACTTTTCTGTGATAGTGCACCAATATTGACTGTGCACTCTTCTGTGATAAGGCCCAGATTGTTGACTGTGCACTTCTCTGTGATAGGGCCTTGATTGTTGACTGTGCACTTCTCTGTTATAGGGCCCTGATGTTGACTGCACTTCTCTGTGATAGGACCCTGATGTTGACTATGCACTTCTCTGTGATAGGACCCTGATGTTGACTGCACTTCTCTGTAATAGGGCCCAGATGTTGACTGCACTTCTCTGTGATAGGACCCTGATGTTGACTGCACTTCTCTGTGATAGGGCCCTGATGTTGACTGTGCACTTCTCTGTGATAGGACCCTGGGGGAGACCACTTGGAATGTGCTCCACCTAGTCTCTACCTAGATTTAAAGATTTAATGATTTAAAGATTTATCTATTTATTTGCAATGTTTACAGGTGTGTGATTACAATTTTGATTTGTTAAGTACAAAGAAAGCCACTATCATGACTGAGCATTTCGGCCAGACTAAACTTATTCAAACAGACTACTTAATACTAGCTCCATATAGCTTCCAGTCATTAGCTCTCTCCTGTAATGTTAACACATTCTATTCCTTTGGCTATGAGATATTGTTAGAACCTGGTGAAGGCAATGGCAGAATGGTAATAGTTGGCAAAAAATGCACGAAAAGCTGTGGAATCTTTTATTTTTTGCAATGTTTTAGCTAGCATTGGCCTTTTTCACATACGTGAAAAAATCCAGTGTTGGGTAAAACATTGTATAAATAAAGGTCTGCTGCTTTTGTGTGTCTTCTATCAACTGTCAGAGCTTGTGTTCGTTCTTACTGTTCTTCAGAAGTTTTTAATGGTTGTGCATATTCTGCCTTCCCCACCCACAAGACTTGTGGTACTGACAAGCCTCGTGAGGCTTGTGCACCAGGGAACCAGTCCTTCCATGGGGCAACTAAGCTGCAGCTCTGGGGCCGACTGAGGATGATCCTATGTGCAGGGGGGCCAGCACAAAATGCCCATCATGACTGTGGCCACTGTTGTAGCTTTCCAAGAGGCAGTGTTCTTCCCCAAGTTGATCCTAGGGAGACTCCTACAGGTCCATGGCTCAGTGTCACTTGTGTGCAGGATCTCATGGATCAGGATTTCATTCCTGGTCAACAATCATGATTTTCTTGTTGGGAACCATTCTTCTTCTTTTGACAAACCAGCTGTATCCCACCGAGGCAGGGTGACCCAAAAAGGAAAACGAAAGTTTCTCTTTTTAAATTTTGTAATTTTTACAGGAAAATGGGTTACTAGCCCCTTGCTCCTGGCATTTTAGTCACCTCTTATGACATGCATGGCTTACAGAGGAAGAACTCTGTTTCACTTTCCCCTGGAGAAGGGAACCACTTGTCTGAGGGGAAAAATTTCATTGACATCTTCCTCCTGCCTGTAGAGTCAAGACTGCTCCTGTCCATGGAAGTGTTTCTTACCCTGTGACTGCACTTACTGTTTTGTAGGATGCCTGATGAGGCCTTTTGCTTGTGACTATGTTTGGGGAATTGCCTGCAGTTGTTAGTTCTAGTGTCTCTTGTGAATAGTGTCAGGGTTCATTACTATGGCTTACCTCTTTTTGGTGCAGACTTTGCTCATGGTCATGTGCAGAGTTCCACTCTAGTGCACTAGCTGGCACTCTGTCAGTAGCTCAGTTAATTTGCCTTTCACACAAGTTGGGGTACAGTCTGTGACCAGTTTCCTTGAATTTCACCTTCATTCAACAGCTGCCTATTCTATGTATATGGTGCTGGTGGTAGGATTACTGAGATAAAACACATGAAGGGTCTTATTTGAGTCTAGATAGGTGAATATTTTTGGGAAAGGACTGAGATTAAATTCTTCTAGTCAAAACATGTTAATTGATGATGAACAGGAAGTGAGAAAATGTGAGTGGGAGATGTCGCAAACACATTCTTTTTTTTCATATGCATGTCATTCTTTTTCATGTGTAATTTACTTTTTCTATTGTCTGACCTCTAGATTCCATGGTGGTTGGATAACACACTTTTTTCTGTAATTGTTCTTTGTCAGAAATCATGTGTGACTAGATTCTGTCTCTAAAGGTAGGATTTATATTTCAGGCTACTAATGATCCAGTATGTTGTCTTGCTGCAAGTGAACGCATATTGATAATTGGCAGGGAATCAGGAAGCTTACAGAGATACACTTTACCACACGTTGCTCTCATTGCTCGTTACAGTCTTCCCTGCCGCCCACATCGCTTGTCACTTAACTGCAATTCCTCGTAAGTTGATTATTTGCTTTACCTCTTCTGAAGGGTAGGTAATAAAATCTTGTACATAATTGGTGCAGTGCAGTGCCAGTGCCAGTTTACAGTAGTGATGCTTGAAGTTCCCAAATACTTGAATTCAGTAGAGTAAACTTTTTTATGGCTCTATGTTGTACAATATTTTGCAGTGCAATTCAAAAAGTTAACAAAAAATTAAATGATATTATGCACTGTAAAGTTCTAAAGAATCACCTAATATAACATTAAGTTCTTCTTTCTTCATTCAACAAACTGGCCGTATCCCACCGAGGCAGGGTGACTCAAAAAGAAAAACAAAAGTTTCTCTTTTAACTTCAGTAATGTATACAGGAGAAGGGGTTACTAGAACCTTGCTCCCGGCATGTTAGTTGCCCCTTACGACACGCATGGCTTATGGAGGAAGAATTCTGTTCCACTTCCCAATGGAGATAAGAGGAAATAAACAAGAACAAGAACTAGTAAGAAAATAGAAGAAAATCCAGAGGGTTGTGTATATATATATATGCTTGTACATGCATGTGTAGTGTGACCTAAGTGTAAGCAGAAGTAGCAAAATGTACCTGAAATCTTGCATGTTTATGAGACAGAAATAGAAGACACCAGCAATCCTGCCATCACGTAAAACAATTACAGGCTTTCATTTTACACTCACTTGGCAGGATGGTAGTACCTCCCTGGCAACCAATGCCACTTACAGTTGCATTCTGGAATCATCTTGTGCTTCAGTCACTATTAACCTCTTAAGTGTCTGTGCCATGGTATTATGGGCTTGAAGTGCTGGAACTATGCCATGAGCTCAGCTCACTCAGATAAGCAGTGAGCAGTAGATTTTAGCTTAGATATGAGACAATAGGTTGATGCAGTAAGTGTGCACCATATAAAAAGTATACTGCCCCATGTGAGAGCGTAATTCCGTACGTTTCCATCAAGTTTCAGTAATTTGGCCAATTTTACACAAAATTAAAAAAATCGAATATAAAAATGGCATCCAAAATAACACTGTAGGCATTCCAGCCACTAAAGCAACATTTCTTCTGTTAATTAATCATGTCCTCAATCCTCTACTGTATTATAATTGCCCTCCATTTTCAATTAATTGTCACACTTGAACTTGAGAAAATTGACCACTGTCTGGAAAATCTCACAACTCCTGCCCCAAACATCTTACTACTAGATTTCAACTTGAAACACCTAAAATGGAGAAATATAGCAAACAATGTTTTAGCAGAGATCACCCCGGGAGGCAGCTCAGATGAAAAGTCACACACGAGCTTTTAAATCTCTGCACCAAATTCACCTTAAACCAGCAAATAGAGCCTACAAGACTAGAAAATGTGCTGGACCTCATCTTCACTAACAATGACGATCTGATACGTAATATAATTGTATCAAAGACAATGCACTCAGATCACAACATAATAGAGGTATAGACACATATGCACAGGGCTCCGGACCAGCAAAATGTGAGCAGTCATGAAAGTCACTTCACGAAATTCAATTTCAGTAACAGAAACATACAGTGGGATCAAGTAAACCATGTCCTAAATGAAACAAGCTGAGAAGATATCCTAAACAACACGGATCCAAACATTTGCAGTAAAAAAATGAATTCTGTGGTTCTTGAGATCTGCTCAAGGCACATTCCATTAAGAAAAAGAAAGAGAATTTGTAAACTAGAAAGAGAGAGACGTTCCCTATACAGACGAAGGTGAAGAGTCGCAGAGCTGTTGAGTGGGGCCCATATATCTGAAATATGAAGGGAGGCACTGGTCAATGAAATTGCAAATATTGAACTTAAGCTGAAGGAATCTTATAGGAGACAAGAATCACAGGAAGAACTAAAAGCCATAAAGGAAATTAAAAAAAATAAAAAACAAAATACTTCTTCTCTTATGCCAAATCTTAGGGAAAAACAACATCCAGTATTGGGCCTCTGCTTAGGTGGGATGGGACATACACAGATGATAGCCAAGAAATGAGTGAGATACTAAAGTCCCAATATGACTCAGTGTTCAGCGAGCCACTGCCCAAACTAAGGGTAGACAATCCAAATGAATTCTTTATGAATGAAACCCAAAATTTGGTCATCCCAAAAATCTCGGATATTATTCTAACTCCACAAGACTTTGAAGAGGCAATTAATGACATGCCCACGCACTCTGCCCCAGGCCCAGACTTGCGGAACTCTGTGTTCATCAAGAATTGCAAGATGCCCCTATTGCATGCCTTTAGCATTTTATGGATAGGGAGCATGGACAAAGGGGTCATCCCACACATGCTAAAAACAACAGACATAACCCCACTCCACAAAGGTGGCAGTAAAGCAATTGCAAAGAACTACAGACTGATAGCACTAACATCCCATATCATAAAAATCTTTGAGAGGGTTCTAAGAAGCAAGATAGCCAGCCACCTAGATACCCACAATTACACAACCCAGGGCAACAGGGATTTAGAGCAGGTCGCTCCTGCCTGTCCCAACTACTGGACCACTATGACAAGGTCATGGATGCTGTAGAGGATACATAAAATACAGATGTAGTATACACATACTTTGCAAAAGCTTTTGGCAAGTGTGATCATGGTGTAATAGCACACAAAATGCGTAGTAAAGGAATAACGGGAAAAGTTGGTAGATGGATCTTCAACTTCCTGACAAATAGAAAATAAAGAATAATAGTAAACAGAGTAAAGTCCCAGGCAGCCACGGTAAAAAGCTCTGTTCGACAAGGCACAGTACTTGCTCCCATTCTATTCCTCATCCTCATTTCTGATAAAGACAGAGATGTAAGCCATTGCTCCATGTTTTCCTTTGTGGAATGACACCCAGATTGCCATGGCAGTGACCTCCATTGAAGACACCGCGAGACTCCAAGTGGACATCAACCAAATCTTCGAATGGACCACTCAAAACAATATGAAGCTCAACGAGGAGAAATTTCAACTTGAAGAAACTTGGGAAACTTGAAGAAATTAAAAATGTGTCAGGGTATACAACTAATTCTAACCATACAATAGAGCAGAAAAGTAATGTGAAGGACCTGTTAGTGATAATGTCAGAGGATCTCGCCTTCAAAGACCAGTACACTGAGAGACAACACAATAAGTGTCCGGGGTCCAAGACTGTTCAGTTGCCTCCCAGCATACATAAGGGGGATCACCAATAGACCCCTGGCTGTCTTCAAGAAGGCACTGGACAGGCACCTAAAGTCAGTACCTGACCAACCGGGCTGTGGTTCGTACGTCAGCTTGTGTGCGGCCGGCAGTAACAGCCTGGTTGATCAGACTCTGATCCACCATGAGGCCTGGTCTCAGACCGGGCCATGGGGGCATTGACCCCTGAAACCCTCTCCAGGTAAACTCCAGGTAAACACAAAAAATGCAAGTTTTACCTTATTATTTGGATTAATAAAATATAACCAGGAATGAGTGGTCATGGTTTAGGGTATACCAACAATTCAAGGAGCAGACCTATAGTAAAAATCCATAAAAGAGACCAGGAAAAGGTAGGGAAAAGCCCTACGTGTCCTTGGGAAACTTGCCAAAAATCAAATATTTCCACTATTTTGAGCTTATTTCACGTTATTGTGGTCCTTAAACTAACCCAGTAGTATGTCTTCTATTCTGTTGAAAGATACCAAGAAATAGTTAAGTGATACCATGAAAATACCTTAAGCTCGCTATTTTAATTCAAACACAAGATCATAGGTTTGTTTTTTCATGCATTATGTGGGGCAGAATTTTTTATACCATGCACATTCACTGCATGGACCCCCTTCTCTTATGCCTAGGCCAAAATTTACCACTCACAGCTTACCTGAGGGAGCTGAGCTCAAAACATAGATCTGTGCAAGTGACACTGGCATCAATAATGTAGATCTACATAAGAGACAGTGAAGAGGTTAACCATGGCACTCATGAGAAAGAACTAAGAATAAACATGAATCTATGACTGTGTTGAAGAAAATTTGATAGATATGCTTAGAGGTGATGCATGTGTGATGGAAACTGTTCATGAGAAGTACAGTGCCAGGACTTTAAATGGAGGGGTTTGGGATATTAGCTGCTTAGTGAGGCATCTAAACTAGTGTATCTGTGTGCCTCTGCAAAGACAGTGATACCGTGAATGATGGTGAAAGTATTTCTTTTTTTTGGGGGGTCACCTTGCCTCAGTGGGAGATGGCCAGTGTTAAAAAAAAAGAAGTTAGGCTAGGTTGGGTCTGGTTAAATAAACCTGTAGAAACATATTTATTCACATATAAGCACACTGAAAATATGGCTGTAACATGTTCAGCAATGCAGTGGCTGAGTATAGGTAGGAAATGTTCTTGTCAGTACACATATCATTCATGGGTCAAACATGGGTTGTACACCCACTCAAATGTGCCTGTGTTATATACAATGCACCCCTACAAATGTATGGATCTGTAACTAAGATATAAATGTTGAATGAATGAATGGTGGTGAATGCGTTGTTTTCTCTAAAGAATAAAAAGTCACAGTACCGTGACTGTAACAATACACAAATAACCTGCACATAAGAGAATGAAACTTGTGATGATACAAGTTAATGGTCCAAGTTGGATCGAAACGTCATGATAAATTTCATTCTCCTATGTGCAGGTTATTTGTATGTTGTCCTCGTGTCACCTTGCCTTGGTGATACACAACCATTGAGGTAAAGAAAAAAGATAGATCTGAAATTTCAGAGCCTTAATTTAGTATTAATTTTTTCTGACTTGAGGAGATGAATATAATTTTGTAATTTACTATTGAACAACTTTGGCAGGATGTTTGTTCCATAGTTTTAACATTATGTTTTAATTTTAGGCGGCTGGCCATCATTGATATCACTGGCTTGCTTACATTCTTAGAGCTGGATACTCGCTCCACAGACACTGGCTCTGAGGTAAGTCTCTTTACGCATTTTTGTTTACTGGCTAAGAACTGTTGTCCTACCTCAGTTTATTGCAAAACCCAGCTCTGCATAGTATGCAGTTTGCAGAAAACAAAAAAGAAAGTTTGCCTCAAAATAAAATGTTTGGAAAAAGATGAATAAAACATACAGACAGATTAATAAGCTTTATTGGGGAATTTAGACAATATGAAACATCAGTATTTTGTCATTTGATTTTTTGATATTTTATTTATTTATTTTTTCAACAAGTTGGCCGTCTCCCACTGAGACAGGGTGACCCAAAAAGAAAGAAAATCCCCAAAAAGAAAGTACTTTCATCATCATTCAACACTTTCACCTCACTCATACATAATCACTGTTTTTGCAGAGGTGCTCAGAACACAACAGTTTAGAAGCATGTATGTATAAAGATACACAACATATCCCTCCAAACTGCCAATATCCCAAACCCCTCCTTTAGAGTGCAGGCAATGTACTTCCCATTTCCAGTACTCAAGTCCGGGTATTCTAGGTAGTAGGCTGGTAGACGGCAACCACCCAGGGAGGTACTACCGTCCTGCCAAGTGAGTGTAAAATGAAAGCCTGTAATTGTTTTACATGATGGTAGGATTGCTGGTGCCCTTTTTTCTGTTTCATAAACATGCAAGATTTCAGGTACGTCTTGCTACTTCTACTTACACTTAGGTCACACTACACATACATGTACAAGCATTTATATATACATACCCCTCTGGATTTTCTTCTATTTTCTTTCTAGTTCTTGTTCTTGTCTATTTCCTCGTATCTCCATGGGGAAGTGGAACAGAATTCTTCCTCCGTAAGCCATGCGTGTTGTAAGAGGCGACTAAAATGCCAGGAGCAAGGTGCTAGTAACCTCTTCTCCTGTATTTATTACTAAATGTAAAAGGAGAAACTTGTGTTTTTCCTTTTGGGCCACCCCGCCTCAGTGGGATACGGCCGGTGTGTTGAAAGAAAGAAAGAAAGGATTGCTGGTGTCCATTTTCCTGTCTCATGAGCATGCAAGGTTTCAGGTACGTCTTGCTACTTCTACTTACACTTAGGTCACACTACACATACATGTACAAGCATATATATACACACCCGTCTGGGTTTTCTTCTATTTTCTTACTAGTTCTTATTCTTGTTTATTTCCTTTTATCTCCATGGGAAAGTGGAACAGAATTCTTCCTCTGTAAGCTATGCGTGTTGTAAGAGGCGACTAAAATGCCAGGAGCAAGGGACTAGTAACCCCTTCTCCTGTATAAATTACTAAATTTAAAAAGAGTAACTTTCGTTTTCTTTTTGGGCCACCCTGCCTTAGTTGGATACGGCCGATTTGTTGAAAAAAAAAAAATCCGGGTATATAAAAATAACCAGTTTCCCTGAATCCCTTCACTAAATATTACCCTGCTCACACTCCAACAGGTCCCAAATACCATTCACTCCTATATAACACACTCATGCATGCTTGCTGGAAGTCCAAGCCCCTCGCCCACAAAACCTCCTTAACCCCCTCCCTCCAACCTTTTTGAGGACGACCCCTACCCTACCTTCCTTCCCCTACAGATTTATATGCTCTCCATGTCATTCTATTGTGATCCATTCTCTCTAAATGACCAAACCACCTCAACAACCCCTCTTCAGCCCTCTGACTAATACTTTTATTAACTCCACACCTTCTACTAATTTCCGCATTCTGTTTGAGACTTGACTGATGGCAAACTTTTTAGGTTTCATGCCAAATATTATTTTTTGGAGATGCTTTATTACCGTTTCCCAAGATGCTACCTACAATAGTTGACTAACATCTAGATATGTATGTACTTACTGCTAGGTGAAGTGGGCAGCAGGTATAACAGACTTACCCATATGTCTTGCCTAACCAGGGAATCTTATGCAAGGAATTCAGTGTAGAGATTAGTAGAGAGTAGGATTTCCAGGAGACTGAGAAGGGATTGTTGAGGTAGTTTGGTCATTTCGAGAGGATGAAGCAGAAGAGGATGACTAATACATAAATAATCTGTACACAGGAGAGAGCTTACAGTGACATTTTGATTTGGCTTAAACCATTTACAAGTCACACAGTGTGACCTGTAAATGGACCAAGTCAGACTGAAACATCATTACGAGCTTCTCTCTCCTATGTGCGGGTTATTTGTATATTGTTCCAGTGATGGTATTGTGCCCTTTTGTTCTTTAGGAATACTAAGAAAAAGCAGAAGTCTGGGGTGGAAGATAAGACAGGTAGGGGTCATCCCTAGCGGTCTTGAACACACAGCAGACTTAGATTTAAGTGAATGGAGATGAGTGGTTTTTATGACTTAACATTCTGGTGGAGTTTGAGCAAGGTAGATATGGAAACCAGTCAGCTGGACTTGAGTCCTGGAGGTGGAAAGTAGTGCTTGCATTCTAAAGGAGGAGCGAGGATGTTGCAGTAAGGAGGGCCATTTGATCTGTGATGCCAACATGTCATAAGCATGCTGGTATGAATGAATGATGGTGAATGTGTTTCCTCTTATTTGGGTCACTCTACCCTGGTGGGAGACTAGCTTGTGTTAAAAACTATGAACAGTACTACAATTACTGGCCATCTCAGCATTTGAGATTTTCATCTTTTTAGCTCTGGCATGCAATACTATTTTGTAGTGAATAAAAAAATAAAGAGGCTGCAAATAAAGTGCTTAATGTATCTGCCCAGAATATAATTTAAAATAATAAAGTGAAATTAGATAGATTAAAATTTCATAAGGATATAGGAAAGCATAGTTCTGGCAATAAGTCTGTACCATAGATGACTGAGCAGATACATGAGTGGGACTGGTAATGTGAGAGTTAAAGCTGCCTAGCATGGGCCAGTAGATCTGAACTATCCTACATTATTCCTATTGGGTTTTCTTGCTCTTGCCAAATTCTGTCTCTCTCTCTGCTGGAACTTTATCTCTTTTCACCTCTACTGCTACTACAAGAGTTGGTGGCAGCATATATTCTTAATTGAGGGAATTGAGTCCTACCTTTCCTTTCTTTCAAATTGTATTTATTTCCTCCATTTTTCCCATTTTTGTATATATTTTAGTCCACTCTGATCTGTGCCTGTGGGAATATAGAAAAGATGGCATTGTATGGTGCTTTGTCAACCCAAGGGTGGGACTGGAGTGGCAACTTCATTTCACTGTATGTTCTTATAGTAGTTGTGAATAAATAGATTATGTACAGCACCTCCTAGCATAATAAGTAGGTTTACTGCAGTGTATTGAAGTTTATAGATTTCATCCATTCAGAAATATTACTCATGTGCAGGAAGCTTTTTCAGTCAAATACACAGGTGACTTTTATATCAGAGATAGTGAAAGAAGTTGAGAGGTACTTTTAAGATGTTCAGTCCCTTAGTCTTGAAGAGTTGATAGATGCTCTGTTCCTTTGCCTTGATTGAAGGTGTTTAATCCCTTAGCCTTGAAGAGTTGATAGGTGTTCTGTCCCTTAGCTCTTATTGAAGGTGCTCAGTATTTAAATATTTAAAGCAGAGGAATGAAGGTGGAGTCTTAAATTCTGGAGGTAGAGGCGAGGTGCATCAATTGGAGACTGCATCACAGGTGGAAGAGACCCACTAGTAGAAGTAGGTCATGACAATATGTTTAACCAGCTGTTAACAATACACTTGTAGTAGATATCCTCTGTACCAAGAGTCTGTGGTGTTGCTGTGTCAGACAAGTATTAAACATTATTGGTATGAACCAGTAAGTTGATGGATAAGACACAGCTTATAATATTGCTTTGTTAAAGAACAAATAATACCCTTGTGATGAAAATAGCTTTGAAAAGCACTTTCATCATACCTGTCAAACACAGCAGTATCATGGGACTTTGATACAGGGATTTCCTCAGTGCTTGCCTAACCTGTATGCATGATCTACATACACTAGTGGATTCGTCAGGTGGTGACTCTGCCTCCCCCTACTGCTACTCACCTGACTTCAATATGTAAGAAACCTCTCTGCACATATGCTGTACATTTCTCTAGATTGATGGACTGAACACATTGACTCCAGCCTTACGGACTGAATACCTCAATCTCCTCATCTTCCACTATTGTTCTCTGTAAAGATTCCCAAATTTTGCACGAGTGTCTCATTCTGCAGGTGATGGGTTCCATATTGAAATTTGAGCGTAAAGATGTATGGGACATGTGTTGGGCTCAGGACAACCCAGAGTTATTTGCCATGATGGAGAAGACTCGCATGTATGTCTTTCGTAACATGGATCCTGAGGAGCCTGTTGCCAGTTCTGGTTATCTCTGCAGCTTTCAGGTAAACCCTCTTTTAAAACTTTTTTTTAATTCCTTTAATTAACAAAGATTTTTTTTTAAAACATTGCAGAGATGAGTTACATTAGTTTAGAGCCTTTGCTATAATCATTATAATAATAATAATAATAATAATAATAATAATAATAATAATAATAATAATAATAATAATAATAATAATAAATAATAATAAAATTTTATTTCTTTGCTAAGGTTACAATGTGTGTTTACATTTAATAATTTGATTGGTACAAAGAAAGCCACTATCATGCCGAGGCATTTCAGGCAGACTTAACCTAATACTTATAGACTACTTAAGTCTAGACAGGTGAAGAGTGGTAGAATACAAATATTCAATATTTTACTCTATTATTAATATGAGGTAGTACAATTTATGATACAAACAAACACATTTAAGTTTGTAATTAAGTTTGTTTACTCTATTATTAACCCTTTGACTGTTGCAACCCCAGTTCTGAAACTGTCTCCCTGTGTTGCAAAATGTTCGGAAAAAAAAAATGATTTTTCTTACCAAAATGTTAGGATTAATTTACTGAGCTCAGCTCACTCTGATAAGCTGTGAGTGGTAAATTTGGGCCTAGATATGAGAGAATACATCTATGTGGTATGTGTGCACCACATAAAACAAATCCTGCAGCACACAGTGTATAATGAGAGAAAAAACTGAGACTGTGATTTTCGATTAACCTGCAAACGGTCCAAATGTATATATACGTTCTCTCCCATAGTGCCCCAAATTTTTGGAGAGAAAAAATTCGTTTTTTAATAGGAAAAAGAGCATATGGTACCCAGGCATCCCCAATTATTTTAATATGCCACACAGTGAGTGCGCACACCCATTCTCTCATGTCTAGGCGACTCAGGCTTATCGTGGCAGTGTTGAATGTATGACAAATAAAATGTATATATACGTTTGGGGCACTAGCGGTAAAAACGTATATACACGTATACGTTTGGGCCGTTTACGGGTTAAAACAGCAATTTGCAGTGTTTTTTTGTGTGTTTTTTATAGTTGTATTTGCGATTTCTTGGTCTCATTTGATAGAATGGAAGACATATTACAGAAATAGAGATGATTTTGATTGGTTTTAGCACAGGAAATGGCTTGAAACTGAGCTCAAAGTAGCGGAAATGTTAAATTTTGCTGATGTTCAAGAGTGAACAAACAACCTCACACGTCTAATACACGCCAGCTGGTGGGTCTAATATACATTCACAAATGTGGTGATGATATTTATACAATTATTACAATATTTCATAACAGTAAATCTTCTATTTTTTGGTTTGAATAAAAATTAATTTTGTGAATAAAAAATCAAAATGGAATTCATTTGTAAAGCCTCAAAACGTAACTAATAAACAGAGGAAATATTAGTTTAGTGCCAGGAATACCTACATTGTTTATTCTGGACCCTATTTTGAAATTGGAATATTTTGAACTTTGTGTTAAATTGGCCAAATTACCAATTTCCGATCTCTTTATTTTGTAGTTGAAACAGTTGACTTGGCGATTTCTTGTGCTCAGTCGATAGAATAGAAGTATTACTAGTGAAATAGCTAAGAATTTGGTCGACTGGAATAATGTAATTGGCCTAAAATGGGAGTCAAAGTCGGCAAAATCGCCGATTCATAAATATCGCCGACACATCAAAATTCACAAGAGCATAATTTCGTCAAATTTCCATCAAATTTCATATTTTTTGTTTTATTACTTTCAGAAAAAGATTCTCTACCATTTCATAAGAAAAAATAATTTTTTTTTTGAAAATTCTTGGACCCTGGTGTGCACTTTGAAATTTGGCCTCTGGACCCTGAAAGAGTTAAAGCTCCATAGTGATAAAATACATGTACAGTACACTCATTACTTATCTTAAAATATTTGTAGTCTTAATGTAGGGTGAAAGGTGAAAAGCATTTATTTGTAGAAAGTCGTGTGGTAGGTAGGATAGTGTAGGGAAGCCAGCCTGGCCACCCATTATGTAAGCAAACAGACGATACATCTGGTTATGGTTCATGAACATTCATATAAACACCTTACATTGTGTACAAGTTGTCTCTAACTTGTACACAACACTTCCATTCTCATATAATTTTTAGAAGGAATGATGCTCTGACAAATTATTATTATTATTAGTTTTTTTTTTATTATCACACTGGCCGATTCCCACCAAGGCAGGGTGGCCCGAAAAAGAAAAACTTTCACCATCATTCACTCCATCACTGTCTTGCCAGAAGGGTGCTTTACACTACAGTTTTTAAACTGCAACATTAACACCCCTCCTTCAGAGTGCAGGCACTGTACTTCCCATCTCCAGGACTCAAGTCCGGCCTGCTGGTTTCCCCTTCATGAATGTTACTTTGCTCACACTCCAACAGCACGTCAAGTATTTAAAACCATTTGTCTCCATTCACTCCTATCAAACACGCTCACGCATGCCCGCTGTAAGTCCAAGCCCCTCGCACACAAAACCTCCTTTACCCCCTCCCTCCAACTTTTCCTAGGCTGACCCCTACCCCGCCTTCCTTCCACTACAGACTGATACACTCTTGAAGTCATTCTGTTTCGCTCCATTCTCTCTACATGACCGAACCACCTCAACAACCCTTCCTCAGCCCTCTGGACAACAGTTTTGGTAATCCCGCACCTCCTCCTAACTTCCAAACTATGAATTCTCTGCATTATATTCACACCACACATTGCCCTCAGACATGACATCTCCACTGCCTCCAGCCTTCTCCTCGCTGCAACATTCATCACCCATGCTTCACACCCATATAAGAGCGTTGGTAAAACTATACTCTCATACATTCCCCTCTTTGCCTCCAAGGACAAAGTTCTTTGTCTCCACAGACTCCTAAGTGCACCGCTCACCCTTTTCCCCTCATCAATTCTATGATTCACCTCATCTTTCATAGATCCATCTGCTGACACGTCCACTCCCAAATATCTGAATACATTCACCTCCTCCATACTCTCTCCCTCCAATCTGATATCCAATCTTTCATCACCTAATCTTTTTGTTATCCTCATAACCTTACTCTTTCCTGTATTCACTTTTAATTTTCTTCGTTTACATACCCTACCAAATTAATCCACCAACCTCTGCAGCTTCTCTTCAGAATCTCCCAAGAGCACAGTGTCATCAGCAAAGAGCAACTGTGACAACTCCCACTTTATGTGCGATTCTTTATCTTTTAACTCCACGCCTCTTGCCAAGACCCTCGCATTTACTTCTCTTACAACCCCATCTATAAATACGGTGGACCCTCGCCTAACGAACGCATCGCATAACGTTAAATCTGCCTAGCGATACATTTTAACGCAAAAATTTTGCCTCGGCTATCGCTAAAAAACTCGCTCAATGCGATTCGTTCGAGACGCGTCCATGTGCGGCCTGAGCGCGCCTCACTTGTTCCGTGGGTGCCAGTGTTTACAAGCCAGCCACCACGGTCGCTTCCAAGCATACAGTCTGAACATTTCATATCACAGCCTTTTTAGTGATTGCACCTGCAAAATAAGTCACCATGGGCCCCAAGAAAGCTTCTAGCGCCAACCCTACAGCAAAAAGAGTGAGAAAAACTATGGATATGAAGAAAGAGATCATTGCTAAGTATGAAAGTGGAGTGTGTGTCTCCGATCAATCAAGGAAGCTGTTCTTGCCAAAGGTGCAACTTTGTTTTCGAAACAGAGATCGCAAGTGATAGATGTTGAAGACTGTTATTGGTGTAGATAAACGAAAAACAGATAGCATCTCTCAAGCGATCATATGTGAAAAGGCTAGGAAGTTGCATGATGATTTAATTAGAAAAATGCCTGCAACTAGTGATGATGTGAGTGAATTTAAGGCCAGCAAAGGTTGGTTTGAGAGATTTAAGAATCAGTGGCATACATAGTGTGATAAGGCATGGTGAGGCTGCCAGTTCAGACCACAAAGCGGCTGAAAAATATGTGCAGGATTTCAAAGAGTACATAGACAGTGAAGGACTGAAACCTGAACAAGTGTTTAATTGTGACGAAACAGGCCTGTTTTGGAAGAAAATGCCAAGCAGGACGTACATTACTCAGGAGAAAAGGCACTCCCAGGACATAAGCCTATGAAAGACAGGCTTACTCTGTTGATGTGTGCCAATGCTAGTGGTGATTGCAAAGTGAAGCCTTTATTGGTGTATCACTCTGAAACTCTCAGAGTGTTCAGGAAAAACAATGTCCTCAAGGCTAATTTGTGTGTGCTGTGGAGGGCAAACAGTAAGGCATGGGTCACTAGGGACTTTTTCTATGACTGGTTACACCATGCATTTGCCCCCACTGTGAAAAATTACCTAATTGAAAAGAAATTAGACCTTAAGTGCCTCCTGGTATTAGACAGTACTCCTGGTCATCCTTCAGACGTGGCAGAGCGACTTTCTGCGGAAATGAGCTTAATTAAGGTCAAGTTTTTGCTTCCTAATACCACTCCTCTCCTGCAGCCCATGGACCAGCAGGTCATTTCCAACTTCAAGAAACTGTACACAAAAGCTATGTTTGAAAGGTGCTTTGTAGTGACCTCAGAAACTCAATTGACTCTAAGAGAGTTTTGGAGAGATCACTTTAGCATTTTCAATTGTGTAAACATTATAGGTAAGGCTTGGGAGGAAGTGATTAAGAGGACCTTGAACTCTGCTTGAAAGAAACTGTGGCCAGAATGTGTAGACAAAAGGGATTTTGAAGGGTTTGAGGCTAACCCTAGGAATCCTATGCCAGTTGAGGAATCCATTGTGGCACTGGGAAAGTCCTTGGGGTTGGAGGTTAGTGGGGAGGATGTGGAAGAGTTGGTGGAGGAGGACAATGAAGAACTAACCACTGATGAGCTGCTAGATCATCTTCAACAGCAAGAGGCCACACCTGAGGAAACTGCTTCGGAGGAGTGGATAGAGAAATTGAGGAAGTTGCCTACTTCAAAGATTAAGGAAATGTGTGCAGTGTGGCTTAAAGTGCAAACCTTTTTTGATGAAAATCACCCTCACACAGCTATTGCAAGCCTTGCTGGTGACTATTACACTGACAATGTTGTGAAACACTTCAGGAATGTCATAAAGGAACGGGAGGTACAGGCCTCTATGGACAGATATATTGTGCGACAGAGGTCCAGTGACTCTGAAGCTGGTCCTAGTGGCATTAAAAGAAGAAGGGAAGTAACCCCAGAAAAGGACTTGCCACCTCAAGTCCTAATGGAAGGGGATTCCCCTTCTAAACATTAACACCATCCACAGTCTCCCCTCCTCCCATCCCATCAATCATCACCAGATCTTCAATAAAGATAAGTGTCATGTAACTGTGCATGTCTTCTTCAGTTTGTATGTATTAAAATTAATATTTCATGTGGTAAAAATTTTTTTTTGTTCATACTTTGGGGTGTCAGGAATGGATTAATTTGATTTCCATTATTTCTTATAAGGAAAATTAATTCGCCTAACGATAATTTTGCCTAACGTTGAGCTCTCAGGAACGGATTAATAGCATTAGGCGAGGGTCCACTGTATATTAAACAACCATGGTGACATCACACATCCTTGTCTAAGGCCTACTTTTACTGGGAAATAATCTCCCTCTTTCCTACATACTCTAACCTGAGCCTCACTATCCTCGTAAAAACTCTTCACTGCTTTCAGTAACCTACCTCCTATACCATACACCTGCAACATCTGCCACATTGCCCTCTATCCACTCTGTCATATGCCTTTTCCAAATCCATAAATGCCACAAAAACCTCTTTAGCCTTATCTAAATACTGTTCACCTATATGTTTCACTGTAAACACTTGGTCTACACACCCCCTACTTTTCCTAAAGCCTCCTTGCTCATCTGCTATCCTACTCTCTATCTTACTCTTAATTCTTTCAATAATAACTCTGCCATACACTTTACCAGGTATACCCAACAGACTGTTTCCCACCAAGGCAGGGTGACCCAAAAAGAAAGAAAATCCCCAAAACCAAAATACTTTCATCATCATTCAACACTTTCACCTCACTCATAAATACAGACTTAATCAGCATTAATATAAAAAGAAAAATTAAGAACAGTGGAGAGTCCAATACTTCCTGCTTACTGTAGTACTGTAGTTGTTCTGTCAGTAGTATGTGTCTCAAACTTTTTTAAAGTGAACCTGTTGACTTAGTTTGTTTGGCAAGTATTAGTTTGTCATAAAAGTGGATAGTGTATGTTCATAGTCAGCCCCCCTCTTCTGCCCTAAAAATTTCATTTTGAATATCAACTGTAAATAAACCTTGTAGAGTTTCTTTACTTGTAGAATGAGTTCATGCTAGGTAACCATAATCAGCAGATCAATAAAACACAAATATATGGCATATAGTCAAGATTTCAAGACTCTCAAAATCATGATAACGTGATTGTAAATAAATTAAAGAACAGATGGGGCTTGAACCCATGGCAAGTGAGTCCTAAAACTAGCAGGACTGTGTGTTAACCACTAGACTATACCAACTTAATAAGATTCATACAACTATGTAAATTTCTATACACCATAGGGAGGTTAGCATGGGCCACACATGATCACATGCAGGTTTTTACAAAAGAATCTCACACCAGCATGTCTGTGGCATGTTGAAAAATTAAGACACTTATGCAACATATGGGAATCTTTATTGAAGAAACGTTTCACCACACAGTGGCTTCATCAGTCTTATACAAAGGAAGGTATAAGGAGAAGAGGAGTTTGAGGTAATCAGTCCCTCAGCCTGGAGTCGAAGTGTTCAGAGGTAATCAGTCCCTCAGCCTGGAGTCGAAGTGTTCAGTCCATCAGTCTTGTAGAAAGTACAGCACAAGGCCGTAGCAGTGGCTTATATACTATGACCCCGCCTCCTCCTGCTTCGTCTCACCTGACTACAGTATATAAGCCACTGCTACGGTCCTGTGCTGTACTTTCTACAAGATTGATGGACTGAACACTTCGACTCCAGCCTGAGGGATTGATTACCTCAAACTACTCCTCTCCTTATACCTTCCTGCTTTGTATAAGACTGACGAAGCCACTGTGTGGCAAAACGTTTCTTCAGTAAAGATTCCCGTATGTTGCATAAGTGTCTTAATTCTTCAACTTGTTGGTTTTCAAAACCATTCATCGTGTCTGTGGCATGCTGTAGCTCAAGTCCCCTCAAAATGCTCTGATGATTCATGAAATCGTAACATGATTGCAAATAATCACAGAACAAGGGTTCAAACCCATGGCAAGCAAATCCTAAAACATGCAGGTCAGTGAGCAGAAGAGTGCCTGGACTCTGAAAAAGGGTGGGAATGTTGAAGTTTGGAGGGGCATCTGAACCATGATGTCAGTGCCCTTCTGGCAAGACAGTGATTGAATGAGCGACGAAATGTTTTCTTCTTTGTAGGGTCACTCTTACTCAGTGGGAGATGGCCAGACTGTTAAATATGTACAGTGTATCTTCTTTCTTTCAACAAACTGGCTGTATCCCACCGAAGCAGGGTGGCCCAAAAAGAAAAACAAAAGTATATACAGTGCATGTTATCTTGAAATACATGTTTTCAGGACCTTGAGATCCGTGCAGTCCTCCTGGATGAAGTGATGCGTGAACCAGAGTCTCCCACCACAGACCACTTGCTCACTTTAGAGGTTAAGAGTCTCCGGGACACACGAGACCTTCTTGAAAAAGTCTCTGTTAAGGATGCTGCAGCTTTTATTGATGAAAACCCTCACCCGAGACTCTGGTAAAACATTACTATGCATTTCACAACTAACCCACAAGCTGGAGATGAAAGTTATGAGACATTTTTATACATCTTGGAGGAAGTTGTAAGTCAGGTCAGGTGAAGAGAGGGTTGGAGACAACTTTGGTAAGATCAAGTCTCTTGTATTCTGAAGGCTAGAGTATTTGAAAACATACTTAGAATGGGGCAAATCTATGGAAAACCTGATCAAAGATTCATTTGCAACTTGTGGGTTGGTTGCCAGTTGTTCCCATCATGTTATTGTGGCTAATATTGTCTATTATTATGCTTTAATACAAATACAAGTTTGTTTCAACATGATACATTTTTTATACAGAAATGGGTGACACTTGAGAGCATTTCGGGCAAGCTTAAGCCTAGCTTAAGACTTCCATTATCAGAATTATTTATGAATACCGTCAAACCTTAAAATTCATGTTCTTTGTAATCTGCATGCTTCAGTTAAATAATGTGTATACTGAAATCCATTTTGTGTATTTCTTAATATATGTATATGCATTTTGTTCAGTGAACATTTGTTTTGATTGTTCGAAGATCTCAAGGATTTTGTTTACAATGTACTTGTTCTTTTTTCTGAATATCAATATTAAGCATTTTATAGCATTACTGTGCTTACAGAGATAAAGAATTTCTTTTACATTAGCTGTCTTCCACCATGGTAGGATGACCCAGAAAAAGAAAACACATAACCATTATTCATTCAGTAGCTGTCCTGCCAGAAGCACAGAGATATTACACTGCAAATGACACGCTGAACTGCAACATCCACACCCCTCATACAGAATGCATTCACTGTATTTCCCATCTTCAGGACTCAAATCCATCAAACTGGTTTTCCTTCTATACTTTCATAAATTACTTTGCTCATACTTCAATAGTATGCCAAACCATGATAAATCACTTGTCTCCATTCAGTCTCCTCTAACATGCTCTCACACGAGTGCTGGATACTCAAGCCCCTACTACTCAAAACATTCATCCCTTCTCTTTAAGAGATATAGCCAAAAAACATTAACCCTCACTGATTATGGGGTTTGACTATGTATTATTGTTCATTATTGAGCTATGGGTTTAATAATGATTGTGTCTTCCCTCTGTCAGTTGTGTCTTCACAAATGCTTTGATTTAAACAAACAAAATTTCTTTCTTTCTGCAGTATACAAAATGTAGTTTACATGTAATAAAGTATTATTAAGCACAAAAGAAAGCCACGATTATGCAGTGCATTTCTGCCCAAATTGCACCGCATTTATATATAGAGTTTCCTTTTGTGTACCTGTGTTAAGTTTTGAGAGTTGCATTGAGACAGAAAGACATTTTTTTATTAATACCCTGGCCATCTCCTACCGAGGTAGGGCGACAGTATAGCCATCACTTACAATTTATTTCCTTTCTTAGGCGTTTGCTTGCTGAAGCCGCTTTAGAAAAGCAAGACCTCAAGAACGCTGAAGCAGCCTTTGTCCGATGCAAGGATTACCCAGGAATACAACTGGTTAAACGCATCTCCAACATCCAGAATGAAACTCTTCGTAAAGCAGAAGTGGCAGCGTATTTTAAAGACTTTGATGAGGCAGAGAAGTTGTACTTGGAGGTAGATAGAAGGTAAGTTGTTTAACCCTTAAACTGTCCAAACATAGGTCTACATTTTATTTTTCCTGCCTAATAATTTGGCATCATTGGCCTGAGTTGCCTGGTCAGTATAGAATGGGTCTTAACAGTCGGTGTGTGCAGTATTAAAAAAATCTGGGACCACTAAGTACAGTAGGGCTCCACTTATATGGCAGGTTAGGTTCCAGGCTACCTCTATAAAGCAGAAATCGATGTAAAGTGGAACACCTTTTTTCCCACTTATAAATGCATATAAATACTAGATAACAAATTGACACTAACATATATTAAGTTAGCAATAAAACTAGGCATTAAAATAACAATTAAAGAGTAAAATACACATTTAGTACACTCATTACTTACATTAAAATATTTGTAGTCTTAATCTAGGGTGAGATGAGTAGTATTTATTGTAAGAAATCAAGTGTGGTATGTATGGTAGCCAGCCGGGCTACCATACCAGGCCAACCCAGCCACACATAATATTCTTTGACATTTAAGCATCACAGAGCGATAAAATGCATGTACAGTTCACTCATTAATTACCTTAAAATATTTGTAGACTTAATGTAGGGTCAGAGGTGAGTAAACGAGATAAAACAAATAAATGAGAGAGAGAGAGAGATTGAGAGAATGAGTACATGAGAGAGGACAGGTGCGGAGTTATGTAAACCAGGTGAATGCGAGTTTTGTAAACAAACCAGGTGCACACGTCTGGTTTGTGTACAAGTTACATTGTGTACAAGTTGTCTCTACATTGATACGGTAGAATAAATAAAGAGGAACACTCCTATTCTCATGTAACACAATTTTTAGAAGAAAAGACACTCTGAGTGAAGATATACGAAAAGAATAATTTTCTACAGTTATGCCCAGTAACACATTTTCTCTTTATGTTGGACTAGAGAAAACGTCATTCTTGCCGTCACTCGTACAAGTTGTCTGGCTACCACATCTCATATTTATATTTATTTATTCTACTCTGGGGTGTATTTATCATCTTTATATGTTATGTATCGTGTTTATTATATAATTTTGAAAATTATCATAGCTGGCTTAATGAAAATGTGTATACAGTGGAACCTCAAAAATCAAACTTAATCCGTTCCAGGAGCTAGTTCTGAATTCGAAAAGTCTGAAATTCGAAGCAATATTTCCCATAAGAAATAATGAAAATACAATTAATCCGTTCCAGAAACCCAAAAATATTCACACAAAAAATACATTTTATAGAGATTAATTACAGTTTTACATACAACAAATACTATAGTTTTTAATTATGTATAGTAATACATATAAAATAACATTTTTACTCACTTTTATTGAAGATTGGTGATGGCATCTGGAAGATAGGGAGGAGGAGAGAGGGAGTTGGGGTTAGTGTTTGGAAGGAGAATCCCCCTCCATGGGGAACTTCAGGTAAAGTCCTCTCTGGGTTATTCCCTTCTTTGTCTTTTAATGCCACTAGGACCAGCTTGAGAGTCACTGGACCCCTGTCTCACAAAATAACTGTCCACAGTCCTCTGTTTCTGGTGCCTCTTTAACATTTCCCTAAAATGAGGACATGGTTCTGTCACTGAACTTGTTGCAAAGATGGCTTGTTTCAGCTTGCTCAGGGTGGTACTTCTGCAAAAAACATTTGGACATCATTCCACTTGGCACAAATCTCCTTAATCTTTGAAGAAGGCACCTCATCCACTCCCTATATTAACACCTTTCGCAACATCAGCTTCCTTAATTTGTTCTTTCTTTGACAGGATAGAACCGATGGTCGACTTGTTTTTTCCATACATCCTGGCAAGCTCAACAAGTCTCACACCACTCTCATACTTCTGTATTATTTCCTTCTTCACATCTATGGTGTTTCTCACTTTCTTTACCACAGGGGTACCACTAGCAAGTTTCTTTGGGCCCATGGCAGCTTATTTCACAGTCCCACAAGCACTAAACACAACGAAATAATCGTAAAATGCGTGAATGAGAGCGCAGGTTAGTGTTCACTCAAGCAGAAACAAAGCTAGACTGCTCATCGGCGCCTGCGCGGGGATGCGGACAGAGCGGGCGGCAGACAGGCTCCGTACCTGGCGATCCGAAAATAGGGGCGCGTTCGATAATAGGGACACAGTTTGTCCGAAAAAATGGTCCTATTTTCGAAACGTTCGATATATGATACGTACGTTCGATTTTTGAGGTTCCACTGTATTAACATAATATACGACATTTAATGACCCAGTTATTATTATTATTATTATTGTTACTAGTATGGCATCACTCGTACAAGTCGTCTGGCTACCACATCTCATATTTATGTTTATTTATTCTACTGTGGGGTGTATTTATCATCTTAAATGTTATGTATCGTGTTTATTATATAATTTTGAAAAAAATATCATAGATGGATTAATGAAAATGTGTATATTAAAGTAATATATGACATTAAATAAGACTTTGTGATTATTATTGAGTATTTTTATTTTTTTTTTTTTTTTTCAACAAGTCGGCCGTCTCCCACCGAGGCAGGGTGACCCAAAAAAGAAAGAAAATCCCCAAAAAGAAAATGCTTTCATCATCATTCAACACTTTCACCACACTCACACATTATCACTGCTTTTGCAGAGGTGCCCAGAATACAACAGTTTAGAAGCATATACGTATAAAGATACACAACATATCCCTCCAAACTGCCAATATCCCAAACCACTCCTTTAAAGTGCAGGCATTGTACTTCCCATTTCCAGGACTCAAGTCCGGCTATATAAAAATAACGGTTTCCCTGAATCCCTTCACTAAATATTACCCTGCTCACACTCCAACAGATCGTCAGGTCCCAAATACCATTCGTCTCCATTCACTTCTATCGAACACGCTCATGCACGCCTGCTGGAAGTCCAAGCCCCTTGCCCACAAAACCTCCCTTACCCCTTCCTTCCAACCTTTTCGAGGACGACCCCTACCCCGCCTTCCTTCCCCTACAGATTTAAATGCTCTCCATGTCATTCTACCTTGATCCATTCTCTCTAAATGACCAAACCACCTCAACCCCTAATACTTTTATTAACTCCACACCTTCTCCTAATTTCCACACTCCGAATTTTCTGCATAATATTTACACCACACATTGCCCTTAGACAGGACATCTCCACTGCCTCCAACCGCCTCCTCGCTGCTGCATTCACAACCCAAGCTTCACACCCATATAAGAGTGTTGGTACTACTATACTTTCATATGTAGTAATTTACACAGGAAAGGGGGGGTTACCAGCCCCTTGCTCCTGGTATTTTAGTCACCTCTTAAACATGCATGGCTTACGGAGGAAGGATTCTTTTTCACTTCTCCATGGTCACCTCTATTTATAACTTCAAAGGTTATCTACCAGTTTTGCTGGTAGTGATACTCTTGTTTTTGAGATATTGTACCATATCTTTTTCTGTTAAAATAGTCAAAATTTAAAGTTACTCACCATATGCAGAACTGTGCCTAGTTTTTTTTTTTTTTTAACACGTCGGCCATCTCCCATCAAGGCAGGGTAACCCAAAAAAGAAAGAAACACTTTCATCATCATTCAACACTTTCATCATCATTCACATATAATCACTGCCTTTGCAGAGGTGCCCAGATATGACAGTTTAGATGTCACTCCAAACAGGCAATATCCCAGACTCAAGTCTGGCTAACCAGTTTTCCTGAATCTCTTCACAAAATATTACCCTGTTCACACTCCTACAGCTTTTCAGATCCCAAAACCCATTCGTCTCCATTCACTCCTAACACATTCACACATGCCTGCTGCATGTCCAGGCCCCTTGCACACAAAACCTGTTTTACCCCCTCCCTCCATCCTTTCCTAGGATGACCCCTATCCCACCTCCTCTCCAATACAGATTTATACACCCTCCAAGTCATTCTATTTTGCTCCAGCCTTTCTAAATGACCAAACCACCTCAATAACCCCTCTTCAGATCTCTGAATAATACTTATTGTAACTCCACACCTCCTAATTTCCACACTACGAATTCTCTGCTTAATACAGTTGTCCCTCATTTATCGTCGTTAATCCGTTAATGGAAGTGTGACGATTATTGAAATAGACGATTTTCGAATCAATTTTCCCCATAAGAAATAATGTAAATATAATTAATCCGTTCCTGACACCCAGAAGTATTAAAACAAAAAATTTTTTTACATGAAATATAGATGTAGTACATAAACAGTACAATGGGACATGATGAATGAAACATTAACAGCATAACACTTACCTTTATTGGCGATTCTTCTTAGTGTATGGAAGACTGGAGGAGGAGAGACATTGAATTACTGTTTGGAAGTGGAATCTCCTTCTATCAACACCTCAGGTACCAAGTGCTTTTCTGGGGTTACTTCTCTTCTCTGTTTCTTAATGCCACTAGGACCAGCTTGAGAGTCACTGGAGTCCTGTCTCGCAAAAAAAGTGTCCAGAGAGCTCTGTTTCTGGCGTCTCTTTAAAACTTCCCAAAAATGGGCCAAGACTGTACAAGTTGCCGATATGGCTCGCAACATCCTTCTCAGGGTGATGTTTCTCCATAAATCTTTCCATCCTACCCCACATTTCAAAAATCTCCTTAATTTCTGATGAAGGCACCTTCTTCCATCTCTCTTCCTCCTCCTCTGCAGCAAGATTCTGAGCTGTGATCTGTTGCTGTTCCTGCTGAAGCTCTTGCAGCTCCTCAGTGGTTAGCTCTTCATTGTGGTCCTCCACCAACTCTTCCGCATCCTCCAAACTCACATCCAACCCCATGGAACTTCCCAGTGCAACAATAGAGTTCACAACTGACATAGGCTCATCAGGGTCAGCCACAAACCCTTCAAAATCCCTCTTGTGGACACAATCTGGCCACAATTTTCTCCAGGCAGACTTCAAAGTCCTGGTAGTCACTCCCTCCCAAGTTTTACCTATAAGGCTTATGCAATGGAGGATACTGAAGTGTTCTTTCCAAAACTCTCTTAGGGTCAAGTG